TACATACATACATACATACACATTACCATGACAAACCAGAACACCACACAACGTACAACAACAACACGAGAAACAACAAAACATATATCACGTATATACATACGTACTTGTATGTTTGTACCTTCCCACCTACCCACCGACCTACCTACCTGCCTGCATACGTACATACACCTACACATACACATGCACGCACACATGCACAAACACATTCGCGCATACGCACGTGCATACGTACATATACGTATAGGTACGTAGATACAAGTACGTAGGTACGCAGTTCCAAAGTTGCAGAGATACGCATCGATGACAGATACATACACACAGGTACATACATACCTACACACCTTCACACCTACATACATACTTACGCGCATGTGTGCATGGATCCGTCCATATAGTGCGCATGATCGCGCATGCATCCATACATTGGCATACGTGCATATAAAAAACATAAACCTACATACGCACATACATATATATATATATATGCATATGCATAAATACATACATACATACATACATACATACATACATGCAGGCATGCATGCATGCATACATACATACATACATACATGCAGGCATGCATGCATACATACATACATACATACACCATACACATACCCACAAACGCTCATACCTGCATACCCAACTACATACCTACATACATACTCAAACTTTTCCACCCTCACCAATGCCTCCTTGCCTCCGGCTTCTTTTCGGTGACCTCAAGATCGATCTCGTAGTAGCCCAGGTAGCCTTCCGGATGTCGACACTTGACTGGATCTTTTCCATGGCATGCCCGCTTAGGCCCTGTATTCGTCCGTCGGGGGTCTAGGTCTTCTTGCTAAAGCTCTTCCATCTTTTGCGTAGCAGGCGATGCCTCACTACTCTCGTCCCCAATTCATGGGAGAGTACGCTGCCACGCAAACCGAAGCCTTCCTAAGCCGGGCTGGTCTTCATCATGATAACGGCTAACAGCTCTCCCCTAAGCTCCCGTGCGACTGAGCAGCAGGTTGACATAAAACCAGACAAGCCCATCACCACGCGAACACCAATCAGGTTTGACACCCACATCCCCAAGGCAGTCACGAAGATTGCCTTGCCACTGCCATCCCTTCTGCGGCAGATGCTCTTTGGAACCTTCAGAGAGCATTCCGGGCCGTAGACTTCGAGGATTCTCTTTGTCTCTGCCTAGGTTTGAGTTGCGCTGTGATTTGGGCTTGAAGTTGGGATACATATCTCATGCCTGGCTTTTGACAGATCAAGAACTCACGGCAACCATGTAGATAACTCGCAAGGAGCTTTCATTGCAGAAGTGGTTGCCTTGGTTGTCGGCTTCACACCGCCCCTTGCCTGCGCACCAAAGAAGGCAGCTCTCGCCAAAGGCAGACTCCTGGAAATGCTCGTGCATGTTGGCGCTATAGCATGAGGGCGTTCACAAATCTCTTTGTCTGCATGGAGTCCTGGGACAGCCACCAGCCGGAAGGACCCCCGACTGCCCCATCATCAAAGAAGAGTGCCATTCCTTGACTTTCGAAGGATCTGGTGCCGGCGCATATTCCATGCAAACTCTCCAACTCAACATCTTAATCTATAGGAGCTTCTGTCACCTTGACAAGTCTAAGCAAAGTTTCGGCCTCCAACTTGGTCGTACCTCTTCATAATGGTGCGCTGCCCGACTGCCTGCGTGCAGCTAAGCTGGCCTAACTCGCCTTATCGTTGCTCAAAGCTCGGTGGTCCTAAGCATGGTCCACACTATACAACTTCTGACGCAGAAAATGTGACAAGTGCCCGATGGAGTCCACTAGCACAGGACCATTAAGCACATATGGCGAGGGACAATGCATTTGCGAGGGCTCGTTGGATCAAGAACACGAACAAGAGCACCCCAAGCACAAACCAAGCATCGCAAGCTCTCGCGACAGTTTGCGCGAAATGCTACGGAAATGGAGGCAGGCAAAAGGAGAGACCCACATTGAAAGCCAGAAACCTTTCTGTAAGGGTGTACTAATTGCGGTATGTCTTGCGAGTATTTCTGTGTCTTTTCGTTCTTCTGAGGGGCGTCATTGCTTTGCGAACAGCTCGTGGGGAATTCCGTGTGTTGCGGCAAGCTGGCGGGAATTCCGACGCGCAGGAATTGGTGCCCTGCTCCTCTGGTCTTCCAGTCCTCTGCATGATCTTGTGGTCCCTCCTTGTGCGTGGGTCTGGCAGTCCTCTGGCCTTTTGGTCTTCTGGCCTGGTGCCTCTAGAAATGCACTCCGCTACGTGCTGCATACAGTATCGAGGAACATGCTCTTTCTAGCTAATTGTGCTTTGGGTGGCCTGTCTCGAGAAATTGCCTATTGACAACCTTTGGAGTGATTTTTGGGACCGCGTCGGACACTGATTGCTGAAGAGTTATAGAACGTTTGGTAATTTCGGGTCTTTAGCTTGGTATAAGGTTGTGGTCGCACATAGCACAGAAGCAACATAAGTGCAGGGTGTGGGAGCGGGGAGCATATACTGGCATATACATACATGCATCATCCAGCCATGCATACAGACGTTATGCACATACATCACGCATGCACGACCCTCGAGACAGCTGAAGCTAAGAACCTTGGACCCGGTGCAATGTCGCAATGCACCCGTTCCTCCTGGATATCGAACCCACAAGCCACGGGCTGTTTACGAGTCGGGAATGACTGGACACGAAACTAGATTGAGTCGCAAAGTTTGATCATCAATCCGTGCAAGACTTCCGGGCATGGGTACGGTCTTGCCCGTGGGCTCGGCACCTGGTAGTACTGCGTTGATTGCCTCGTAGCCTCTGGCACAGGCGTGGCCAGAGTGGCAATATACTCACCTGCCACGGGCATCGCTTCAGAAAGGCAAGATCCAGAACACAAATCTGTGTAGCCAGCCCTGGATCCTCATGCCAGACAGTTGCCTTAACTGCACCATGTGCGATGCAAGCGCTTGGCCTCAGATGCCAATAACAACCCCTTCCAATCCAGAAGTTTCAGTACAGTGTAGCACTTGCTGATCGAGCCTAGGATATCTCGAGACGCATCGGGCAGCTCGTAGATGTTTGTCCGTGGCCGTTGGCTGAGAACCACCGAAGCCTGGTCTATGCTTTCTACCGAGGCCGGCTCTACTTATGAGTGATTGTTGTTGTCGTTGAAAACGTAGCTGTTGTTGTTGCTCTCACTGTCTGTTTGTTCTTTTGCAAGCCGTCTTCGTGCATCTTCGCTTGTTCCAGGGTGATCTTCCCGTGCTGGGCCAATTGACCAACCTCCTTCTCGCTCGCAGGCTTGCTCCCTCTCTCGGTTCTCTCGGTCTATGTTTACCAATTCTATCAAGGATGCCAAAGAGCAGGAAGGTGCCCGCTTGTCATGGCCAAAAACCATTGGAGGCCGACTGGTAGTTGGACTGAAATGTCAGCCTGACGACTTAAACCTCCCGTGTGTCGCTACAACTAGCCTTACCGAGAGCAGTCAACCCTTGCTAATCCTGATGCGGCAGGATAATCTACGTGCTCGATAAGCTGCACGCCGTAAACAGCCGCAAGGGTCAGCTAGTTCTAACAGCAACCCAGTACATGACATGATGCAAACACGGCTGCCCGAGACTGAGCTGAATGTGCCGCGGATGCTGTGCACTCTTGCTTCCCCCCTGTGTCATTGTCTCCAGCTCTGCAATTAAAACTATCGCCAACACTACCATAACTGCCTACGTGACTGTCGTCGTCAAAAGCCCGCTTTCATCACATCCGCTCCCTACTAGATCGATGAATAAAAACACCTTTCCTCGTCATCATGAAACCTCAATCACGTCCGCAGTCTTGCTACAGACCGGTGATGACCGGTGTAATGTAGTAAAGGTTGATTTTGGCGTTCAGCCAGGATCCATGGCGGTGTGATGCATACTCACGTACACCAGGTCGTGTAGTTGTCGAGAACTACTGCTGTCTGCATGCCTTGCTTCAAATCTGCCTGCCTCTGTCTGTCTGTCTGTCGGTCTGTCTGTCTGTCTGTCTATCTGTCTGTCTGTCTGTCTGTCTGTGTCTGTCTGTCTCTGTCTGTCTCTGTCTGTGTCTGTCTGTCTCTGTCTGTCTCTGTCTGTCTCTGTCTG